TGAACATCCAGTCTGTTACATTATGCTGTCAGGCTTAATGTCTATATTATCATTATTAATAAGTTTTCGCCTGAACACAGCGGGGGTTGATTAGCTGATTTAAACAGCTGCTCTACTGATGACTTGGTGGGTTGTTTAGTGCTAACGGAACCAAAACACACCGAACTGCGCAGCACATGCTAAGGCTATCAAAGTCAATAGCGGGCTAACAACAGTTAGGCTAGCATAACTGACCCACTGCTCACTTGTTCAGTGTTTTCTTTAAATTAAAACTTTTTCCTCACCTGTGAAATGTGAAACTCTTGAACCTTGTTATCTATGGCTGTCATAGGGTTGAATTAACCGCTAAACACTTCGTCCATTTTTCAGATTCTTTGCGTGATTGTAGTATTTTCCTGACCAAAGGACAGCAATGGCGCACGTCATGTCCGGTCCAGTAATATATATCCATCCATATCAATGCTGCTGCCTCTGTCCTCTCGCTTCCCGCTACTCAGGTGTCAGGTTACATTAAGGTGCATTCAATGTTATCGGAAAAAAGAGTTTCATGCGCTTAATGTCCGATTTTCCATAACTATTTATTGAATTCATAGTCGCCAGCTGGGGTGGCAACAGGGGTGGCAAGGCTAGGCTCTCACAGTAGATCCGGCCCTCATGTTGAGGGAAAATGGGATTAATGTTTGTTTTGGAGTGTGGCCCGTGTCAGGCCCCGTGTCGGCCCGGTACCGGCCCAGAACCGGCCCGGTTGCTAACCGAACCTCGTGTCTGCAGGGTGGGATGTGCTCCGTGTTCATGCAGGACTCTGAGAAGGTGGTGAGCGTCAGCAGCGACCATCTGGAGCCCGTCACCCCGACCAAGAACAACAAGGTGAGTCCACCAGGACCGGACCAGAACCGGACCTGGGCCTCGCTCTTCCTCTGCCGCTGCCGTGGTTAAAGGCGGCGGAGCTGACTCCGTCCTGTTTTCCAGGTGAAGGTGATCCTGGGGGAGGACCGCGAGGCCACAGGGATCCTGCTGAGCATCGACGGAGACGACGGCATCGTCCGCATGGAGCTGGACGACCAGCTGAAGATTCTCAACCTGCGGTTCCTGGGCCGCCTGGAGCACTGAGGGCCGCCGGCCCCGGACGCTCCGCTCTCGTTCTGTTCTGCTTTTAGTGCTTTCATGATCTGTCAGGTCTTTGATTTCTGGATCCCAACCAAACGTGTCACATCAATAAACTGTGAACTGGTCCGGCTTCCTCTGCTTCCTGATCCAGGATCTCCAGGTTTTCCAGGAGATCCACAGCTTCATGCTGGAGAACCACAGAAGCTGGTCTGCTCCTGTAGTTCCCACCTGGGGAACTTCCTATCAGTGTCCAGGTGTTCCCTGGTCAGAAGGGATTTACATTCATGTGAAAAAGTTAGCACAGGTCAGATATTCAGTTTATTAATAAATATTCACATGTTGACGTCTGAAGTCTCCGGTTGAATCTCTGGGGAAATGAACTGTTCACTGTTCAGGTTTGGTGTTTCACTCAGAAATCACCTGGATGAAGTTGGCACACCCCAAGAATTAGTTATTAAATATGTCGACGGCTGATCTTTTAATCTCGAAACAATTTAACTTCAGTTTCACTGGTTAAAGGAAGTCAACATTCCAGAGTGAAACGTGGTTCTGAAGGAAGCGGGTCGGAAGGGTTCTGATGGAGAGCAGGGCAAAGTATTCCCACCCCTTTTTCAGGCTTCATCCAAGATAAAGAAATAATTAAAACTGGAAATGAATGACGAGTTTTATCTGAAATACAAATGAAAACGAACTGAACCTGTGATGAACCCAGAACAGGTGGTCTGTCTTTCTGTTGTTCCAGGTTTCACCAGCAGATGGCGGAACATCAGCCAAACTCAGGAGGAGGAAAACTTTAAATATAACTTATTATTATTATTATTATTATTATTTGAAAGACCTTAAATTTTCTGCGTAAATCTCAGAACTTCACGTTTACTAACCTGTCAAAGTTACTCGTCTTTTGTTCTTCCCTACGTTTGCTATAAATTAACACTTTCTGATTCTGGGATATTGTTGCAAATATTTCTATAATTTTTATTTCAGTCTTTCTCCTGGAATGTAATTCTGTAAATCACTAAAAGACTAAAACTGGAACCGAGACTAAACTAGATAAACTAATGAGCTAAAGTCAAAATCAAACGTTTGTTCAGGTCGTTAAATAAAAGCAGAAAAACGGCATCATGGAGGAGCGTCGCTGTGCTTCTTAAAGAGACAGAGGCCAATTTCTAACCGAAATAAAACGTCTTTGCTATATTTTTACATTCAGCATTTTCACCAGAACTGAAGGTAACAGAGTTATTAGGAGGATCATAAAGGAAGCGATTCGACCTGATCCTGCCTAAACCGGACCGGACCGGACCGAGAGCACAAAGTAGGCTGAGGCTGTGGCGCCCCCTACAGGAAGCCTGTTTGCTCCACATTTTCTCACCATGAAGGAGAATCAGAATTTATTGGGTTTGGATGTGAGCCGTCGGATCAGAACCGAAGCGTGTTCTGAGGTTCTGTCAGAAAACTGGACCGGACTGTTGGATCCTTTTATTAGATTTAACAGCTAAAACAAACATCGATTTGGACGGTTCCGAGTCCGAGCTGGAGGGAAAGCAGAGCAGGACATGTCGGGCCGGGCCGGGTCAGCCGCAGGGCCGCCATGGCTCCTGGTGGTTGATGGGGAGGTAGTAGAGCGGAGCGTCCGGAGGGCAGGGGTGGCCCAGAGAGGGCTGGAGTCCGGGGCCCAGACCGCCGTCTCCATGGTGACTACAGCCGACGGTCAGGTTCTGGGTCAACTGGACCTTCACCTGGAACAGAACCTGCCTGTCCTGCAGGAAAAGAAGAAAGATTCAGATTCTGTTCATCTTTACACTGAACTGGTTCTGATTCTGTTGGAGGAAATCTTTGTTTCAGTTGCTTAAAGGAGTTCTGCTGAGGTTCTGCTGACGTTCTGCTGAGGTTCTGCTGACGTTCTGCTGAGGTTCTGCTGACGTTCTGCTGAGGTTCTGCTGAAGTTCTGCTGAGGTTCTGCTGAGGTTCTGCTGACGTTCTGCTGAGGTTCTGCTGAAGTTCTGCTGAGGTTCTGCTGACGTTCTGCTGAGGTTCTGCTGAGATTCTACTGAGGTTCTGCTGAGGTTCTGCTGACGTTCTGCTGAGGTTCTGCTGAGGTTCTGCTGAAGTTCTACTGAGGTTCTGCTGAAGTTCTGCTGAGGTTCTGCTGAAGTTCTGCTGAGGTTCTGCTGAGGTTCTGCTGAAGTTCTGCTGAGGTTCTGCTGAGGTTCTGCTTCCTGTCAGATCATTCTTGAGGTTCTGAACTCCATGTTCTGAAACTAAACTCTGTTCAGAACCGGAGTTTAGTTTCTGAACTAAAAGAAACTAAAGTCTTTCAGAAGAACCCAGCAGAACCGGAACTGATTGGACCAATCAGGAGAATTTCATCGTGGCTGTTTAACCAACACCAGCTGGTGGTTCCGTTTGTTCTTTTGGACCTTAAACGACCCGCACATCACTGGAAAAACAACTGCAAGTGTTTCTAACTTGTCACCATGGTAGCCGGATCGCTGAAGGACCCAGTTGGACCAGCGGTTCTGGAACCGGACTGGGTCAGCGGCGGGTTTTATGAGATGTGCTGAGGATCCGGTCCAATTAGCTGCTAATGTTAGTGGAAGGTTCTGGAGAACAAAGTTCTGCTGCAGATCCAAAGGACCCGGTTCCTCTGACCCGGTTCCTCTGACCCGGTTCCTCTGACCCGGTTCCTCTGTGGGTCATCATAAACGTTCTGAAGTATCGATGAACCAAACTGCTGTTAATCGGCTGCATTTGATCAGTTCAAGCCGTAATAAAAATAATTTCGGTTTGATTTTTATTTTCACATTAAAGTCTCTGATTTTGTGTTGCCAATATAAAAACTAGTTTTGTAATATTTGCTCCTGTGAATGACGATAAATTCGACTTTTTGTCATAACTTGACATTAAGCTCAGCAGTGGAGTGAAGGTGAGAAATGCTGCCCCCTGCTGGTTGGAGTTAGCATCGCTAAAAACCAAAGTTTTTGACCATTTCTGCGGAAAATTTGCAATAAACGCACAAAACTGCATCAGCGTGAAAAAAGCCGAGGATCTGCTGATTCTGTTTGGATATTTGTGATGATTCAGCAGGTTTCCTCTGAAAGTGAGGCGCTGCAGTGAATCACCTGCTGGTCTTTGACGCACTGGATCTCATGTCTGTGTCCGACATGCGGCAGCAGGACCTGCTGCAGCTCTGCAACCTGGACCAGAGAGGGACAGACGGAACCAGAACCAACAAAACAGTAAAGCTGCAGCCTGCCGCAGACATTGAAACAGTAAAAACCATTACAATGGTCCAAATCCTAATAACATTAATTCTAGACATAGAGAATAAAACTGTTGCTTTTTGTCAAACGTTTTTCATCTTGAAGGCAAAACATAAATCAGCTCCAAAGGAGAAAAAGATTATTACATTTTAAAATTTAATAATCAAACCTTTTTTTTTTTTTTTCTCTCTGCAAAATCTTTTTAAATTTTATGCGGGTTAATGTTGGACTTTTACCTTATAGAGTCGGTCGCAGGACGGAGTGATTCCTGCTTCCGCCAGCATCCTGCAGCACAAAACAAACTGTCTCATTATTTAACTTCATCATTTCAGAGAAAATGTGTGAAACATTTATGAACGTTTTATTTTTTTTTATTTTATCGCTAAAATGAGCCTGCCAGTGAAATCTGCATGGTGGCCACAAGGGGCGCTGCAGTAACGCTCACTTGTAGAGATCAAAGTGATGGCGCAGCTTCAGGCAGATCTGGAAATATTTCAGAGGAGAGTTGAATCCTTCAACACACGCAGCGCAAGAGCCGTGTTTCAGCCACTCCTCCTTCCTGCCACACCAATCAGATCATAGAATAGAAGCAGCCTTTAGTGCCCCGTAAAGTTGACACAAAAAAGTTCTTACAGTGTTTACAACATGTTATAAAGAAGAATAAAACCAGTACTAGTAGTAGTATACTGTAAAAGACTATGACATAAAAACTGAGGAGTTATTAATTAACTCCGCAGTAATTAGATAAAAAATATCAGATCACAAACCAAGGGATGTTCAGTTTAGTTGGATCAATATAAATAATGAAATTAATTGGAAATATTCACTCATATTTCATGAAACAATGAGGAAATCTTCATTTCAAGCATATAAACAAAAAAGAATGAGGCAAAAATTATAATCCGGCTTTGCTGCGTTTATGGGAACTGAATGAAAATTTGATCTGTTAATTTACAAAAAGTTTTATTGAGGATCAGCACTTCGAAAATAAACTGCATTAAAGTAAAATACATTTATTTCATGTTTCCTGTATTTACAACAGAAAGTCAAAGTCTGAACAATAAACAATAATTAAAATTTAAGAGGAATATTTAATGGGTAAAGCTGCATGACACCGCCCTCTACAGGAGGAGACAGGAACTACAGAAACTCCGCCTCCTTCAGACAGGAAGTGGAATTACAGAAGCGCGCAGCGTACCAGAAATGGAAGTAAGGTTTGGTTTTCAGGAGCGATGGCCAGAACTCCATCAGCTCCTCCTCCACCTCCTGAAACAGAAATCAGAAGTTTTACAGAAACATCGCCCTCTTCCTGTAGAGGGCGATGTTTGGAGGAAATCTGGGAATCACCTGGAGGTCAGAGAGGAAGATGGGCCAGCAGGTGCAGCAGGAGAAGGCGTGGAGAGGCCTGGAATCGAGCAAACAGGAACATCAGCTCCCTTTGGAGCGTCCTGACCGACAGATCATTTTTAAACCCATTCATTCATAAAGCAACAGACAGGAAATGAATCAGTTGGTAGCTGAAGGATTGGTACCAGAGGCCGTGGATGGTCCAGCTGCTGATGTTCTCAGGAATCGTGCACTGAGTCTCTTTGTACAAAGACTGATGGAAACAAACAGAGACGGGACGTTAGCAGAAATCTCAGGTTTCTGACAACATGAGGAACCTCCTATAGTCAACCTTCTTGTCCCGCATCAGTGTCTGACCTCACAGATAATTAAGTCCTAATTTCACTGAAAGCTTTTCTCAGTAGGATTAATATGAAATAAATGGGAAATCTTTCTGACATCGTGAATGTTTCATCTTTTCTCAAGGAGAATCTGAATTCAGTCTCTAATTCATCATCAGATCAGTTTGTTTTTCTTTCTTTGATTTGTCCTTCCTGCTTTCCTTCTTTATTTCTGATTCTGTGTTTGGGAACCTGAAAGAGCTCAGATTACAGTGATGATGATGATGATGACGTCACGCACCTGGCAGAAACCCCCCGGCCACTGCAGGGTGAACACCATGCATCTCCAGCTGCAGTTGCGCGGCAGCAGCTCGGCGCCGTGGCGGCCATATTTGTAGTCCTTCCACAGTTCCTGTTGCGTCACGGAGCCGCGAGGGAGCAGCAGGAAGAGAAGAGCCGGACTCAGAGTGACCAGCAGGGGCAGCACTGAGCGGGACATCTGGGTCTGCTGCTGGTCGGTGAGCTGAAAGTATTCACACCCCGCAGATTCAGGTTCGGGTCTCTGGAAGGGAAAGGAGTGAGCCTGTGGGGGGCGCTAGAGAGACCGTCCTCATCAAGACAAAGCATCAGAAACATGAGAACAAGTTTTGATTCTGTTGATTATCTGACAGGATGTGGATAGATGATCCATTTTTAAAGGTTTTATCCAAAGCAGATTGACTTGTTTCATTAAAAATCTGCTTCATTTCCCTTCAGAGACAAACTTCTGGATTAAATAAAAACATTTTGAATCTAAATCTGGAGAAGTTTGAATAAATGAAGATAACAAAGCTTCACGTTTCCCTGATTTCAGCGACTGAATCTGGTTTAAGTGTTTTTGTTGGTAGCAGAATCTGAAGAACTCACCGATCTGCGTCTCCGTCGGCTGGAAATGAAGAAGTGAGACGATTCAGCAGCAGCTGAGCTGCTGCTGCTTCCGGCCCAGCGGGGGCGCCACTTTCACAAACTATAAAAAGGCCTTCCATTCACACTTCCTCAGAAACCAGAACCGAGGGGCTGATCCGGGTCGAGCCTCCAGAACCAGCAGAACCAACAAAACAATGAGAACCAACAGAATAATCAGAACCAGCAGAACCTTCAGAACCTTCATCAGAACCTGCCGGAGGTTCTGATGAAGGTTCTGTCAGAACCTCTGTCTGACAGAACCTGCTGTCCATGCTGGGTTTTGAACTGGTGAAGCGTTTTCCTTCCCTGCAGACTAGCAGCAGCGACTCTCTGCTCATCCCGCCGGTGGTTTTGTGAGTGACGTTTCCATCGTTTCCCCAAACTAAGGAAATTGGTGTCAAACGTTTGTGCTGCAAATATTTCTGTTTGTGCCGCTGTCATTTCAGAGATATTAAAAAAACGTTTCCAGAGGTCATCAGAGGTCATCAGAGGTCATCAGAGGTCATCAGAGGTCGACCAGCCGTCCTATGACTGTTGCACAAACAGCAGAGTTGATTGATACCAAAGTTGTTTGATTTAAATATTTGCAGCACAAACATTTGACACCAACAGAAAAACAGAAAGGTTTGGGGATTGTGGGTGACAGGGAGGAGGTTGACCTCTTGACCTCTTGACCTTTAAACTTAGATTAATATAATAGTAAGAA